TTTCACGAAGAAATAAATAATATAGACCCCAAAAGAGTTTATTAGTCATTAATGCCTTTTATTAATGAAATGTGTTGATAATTGTCAATTTTCCTTTTTTTTTCGAAGCACAAAAAAAATGATAAACTTTACGAATCAAAAATACATATAAGTTTTTTTTCGAGATGATATATATATCTAAAACATTTTTAATATAGTATGACATTACTGTATACTATTTCTATTATTATTATATTATTACAACTGTAAATTTATTTGAATAACTATCTAGCAAAATATACTTTTAATTAAACTAAAAAAAAAACAAGAACAATTTTTTAATTTAACAGAAATAGCACTTACTTTTAGTTTATATTATTATAAATAATTTAAAGTAATATGCAGCAAAAATTGTAACATAGTTAATTTTTGGGTTTATTTTATCACTTGAATACAGGATTTTTTTTGTAGGGGAGGAAACAATGAAAGTAAAAAATATCTAATTTGATCATTGGCATAACTAATTTTTTTAAGGTAGAAATTAGAAACAAAAATAAGAAGTGTTTATGACATGGTGAAATAACTAATTAAAAAATATTTTACCGTATATGATCTGTTGATGTTATTATACTAAACATTAGTCGTCGTGGCACAGTCATTTGAATGTCTATGAACCATTGTAAAACTATCATTACACTGTCATTCACACTCTGGATGCACATACGTGTAATAATCACCATTTTATAATCACCTTTTCTTAATCGAAAAAAACTGTGCACTAAACGTAATTTGCACCGTGTTTTAACTGTCTTTTGAACAATATTGACACCGTGACTGCACTTGATTTTTTACTCGGGTGTATAAACAAATTTTAAGGACATGTTATTTATATTTTCAAAGATAAAATTTAATGCTTAAAAAAAAAAATTGCATCTGTTTACTAAATTAATCTTTTGTCAACAATTAGCTGCCACACATCACCTCGCACATGCCTCAGTATCTGGACAGTATTAAACTAAAAGGTGCATTTTGATATTTCTACTCGGGTGCAATGTATAGTTGTCACAAATCTGCATTCATCATTATTAGGGTTCTTTTTAAAACGTAGGGATCTTGGTCAAAAGCAAGAATTGGAAACTACCCCATGTCTGCCCAAAAATTGTCCCCATCTTCTTAAATGAGTTTTAATTAACTTAAGGAGACACAGACAATCGCGTACCTTGGTTACTAGTGAGAGCTCGTAGATATTAATTTCGGGAAAATTATCAAATTATAAATTAAAAAAATTGACTTTTGTGAATAGGTTGCTATTTTGAATACGCTCCTGTATGCATCTTAAGAGTCAAATTTTTAAAAACATTTACCAAATGATAGACAAATACCTACCTAATGTATTTATTAAAAAAAGAAATTGTTACAATTCATTTATTTTGTTACGAGTGCACTGGTGGTGAATAAAGTAGGCGACACAATTTGAATTTGTCGATTAGTGTTGTTTATTTTATCAGAAAGTGACTCTTTACGGTGCACAAAAACAAAAGATAAAACACAATAGTATTGAAATAAAGATTAGGTATGTAATNATAAAACACAATAGTATTGAAATAAAGAATAGGTACAGATATGTCGGCAGATGTCAAAATATTCGTAACTGCGGTGTAGGTTGGGTTGGGTTGGGTTGAGTGTCACGAAGATTACTGACACAAAACGCATTATTGCAGCGGATATTCGACGTGAGGTATTTATCGGACTTTACTCCACGACGATATCGCGTGTGTGTAACAGTTTGGTGTACAGTGGAGCAGAGGCTGAGAAGGAGCTGACATGACAGCGGGGTGTTAAACGGGTGACAACGCTGTGACCGTGTCAATTTTTTAAAAAGCTATAGCAGTTTTAAGTAAAACAAATTGAAAACACGTAGAATATTAATGATTTTTAAAATTGTAATTTTTGTTTGGAGATTTTCCCTATTTACGGTGATTGAGGGAGATATTTTCAAATTTTTGAATATAATGTCTTTGAGGTAAATTCGATTTGGAATCTTTTGACGTATCTTTGAAAATAAAGTACCACAAAATAATAACATTTCCAATGAATAAACTTTTTTAACTTATCTGTAAGCCACTCCTGAGACACCCTACTTTGTAGGGCATGTGTTTAACGATCTGATTTACAGTGGAGCAGTGGCTGAGAAGGAGTTGACATGACAGCGGGATGTGAAACGGGTGACAACGCCGTGACCGTGTCAATTTTTTAAAAAGCTATAGCCGTTTTAAGTAAAAAAAACCCAGCAAATTGAGGACGTTGCATAGTTGGGTCCTGTTTAGATTTAATCTCACAGTGATTAAAATCACTATCATAAGAAATGCTTCGATGCATATCTGTAGATAGTGTTTAATTTTAAGAAATTGATTACAAAAGCAACATCAACTTCTATTTCCTTAATGATACCCAGATAAGTAATTCTTTTAATTATATATTATATAATTTTTAAAATTAATTGTTTTCAAATTATTATTGATTTTGATTTTTAATATGTTAAAAGTAATCATTTTGAACCTACTTTTTTTTGTCATTTAAAGTGAAAGTTTTAATAAAAAATAAATAATTTTATTACCATAACTTTTAGATAAACTTGCAAGTTTGAAATTGACATTATTAAATTGAAAAAGAAAAGGAAATTGTTAAAATTAATATACAGTTAAGATATTTTATAAGTACTATTTGCAGTACTTTTATCAGAAAAGTTCGATTTTTTTTACATTTTTATCGTAATAGATCATTTAAATAAAAATCATAGTAATCAATTATAATTAACTTTTGGCGTTTAAAAAGATTCAACTATGGAAATATTCAGAATTTAATTAATTTTAATGATTATATATCTAAAAAAATCAATATAAAAAAGTTGTTAAAAAGATTTATTCAATTGAGCGTATTATAAAGTTTTAAGTGAAAAAAATTGAAAACATGTAGAATATTACTTATTTTTAAAATTGTTTTTTTTTTTGCAGATTTCCCCTATTTGCGGTGAATGAGAGAGATATTTTCAAATTTTTGAGGATAATGTCTTTGAGGTAGATTCGATTTGGAATCTTTTGATGTGTCTTTGAAAATCTGACCCTTAACATACCACAGGGAGGGGATTCAAAATAATAACATTTCCAATAAATAAACTTTTTTAACTTATCTGTAAGCCACTCCTGAGACACCCTACTCTGTAAATTATTATTATATAATACCATATGTCGTAACTCAAAAATAAAAAAAAGAAAGGGGGGGATTAGGATTGAAATGAATGGGGAAATACGCGGGATCTGACTCTTCACTCAGGCGTATGGTTCGAGGGTCTACCGTTGTAAAATAAAGCATACAGGTTGAGTTCAAATAGTGTTACCTGAATATTTATGTTATCCTTAATGCCGAAGACAGGATTTATGTTATAATAATTTCAACACAAAACAAGTCGATGTCAATTATCAAATGATATAATTATTGTCACTTATTACACAACATACACAAAAATGATTCATATGGTAAAAGAAATAGTACATGAAACTTAAATAAAATATTTGTACACACTAATTCAAATATTGTCAATATTATATAAACGATACAGAGAAAAATGCAGAGTTTACTTATAAAACTGGACGTGTTCGTTCCGGAGTACGATCGAAACAGGCCGTGTCAGACGATCCCATGGAGTCCTTTGGTGTCCTTCCAAAGTCCCCTTCCAGACACGTACATGACCATCGGCCTTACATTTATTTAGATTCTTTGTTGCTATTTTGCTGACATTGTAGAAGGATTTTGTAAAACTACGGGGTTGTACATGTTGGGAAGGAACGGATGTGTGTGCATGGCGTGATTGTGTGAGTTGTGTGTGTATCTGCAGTCAGTGATAGAAAATGTTGATTGTGTTTTGTAATTTATTGGTGTGTGGGTAGAAGATGAAAGAATAACAGAAAAACATTTTGTTCGGTTGTGTGAAGGGCCTATTACAACACATATGAAAATAATTTTATTGGGAGGATCATTCCTTTCGATCCATAGAAGGCTTGATATGAACTTATGTAAAACATTGCTGTCGGTCATTATATAGTAATCTTCATACGTCAGTTGCGAAGTGACAAACTAAAGGTGTGACTTGAGCTTAATCATTTGAAATGTTATAAGTCCCGAATCTTACTTTTAAGTGTTAACTTTTAATTTTTCAAATGGCAACATACATAATTAACTAACTTATTTATTAGATACTGTTGTAATTAAGAAAATTATTGGTCGATAACAACTTTTGGTCCAGTATTTCAGAAGTTATTATCATTATTATATTTAGGTGGCAGGATGAGTACCAAAGGAGCAGAGAAATGTGTAATGATACAAAATAGCAGCACCCACGTCTCGCCATCAATTTGTAGCTCTTGAAATGTTGATCGGATGCAATTTTTTGCGATGCAGGAAGTCCAATGGGTTTGGTTGGGTTTAATTTTTGTGCATTAATTATAATACAGATTAATTTAATATTCTAAACAGTTTGACTTATTCTTATAAATAGTATATATTAATAATGTATAAGTTCTTCATTAAATATTTTCAATCAACATTAATTATATTAAATTAATTAAAATAAAATATTACATATTTCTTTTAAACATTTTAAATACAGATATATTTTATTTTTTAAACATAAAAATCAATTCAAAAATTTAAACTTGTTTGAAACTAAAAAATTATTTTTTCAAATCCAGTCGTTAACATTATTTTGTAGTTTCAATACTAGATCAATAAAATTATAGGTTTTTACATATTAATCATATTTTAATTAAAAACTACATACAATAAAATAATTAATAACTTAATTATTAAACAATTTTTCATTTCTTGTAATATTATAAAAATAAAGTTTATATTCAAATCAATCATCGTCGTATTTAAATTAAAATAATTATTTATTATTATTATTACTATTATTATTACTCATATAAACATACCCGAGAGATATCACTACAATAGTAACTCACCTCTTTTACCCTCTATTTTATTTTTTTCATTTAAGATACTGTAGTCCATTTATCGTTTAAAATAAAAAATTCATTAATTTCCGAGAATCAATTATAATATAGATTAATTTGATATCCTAAACAGTTTGACTAATTCTCATAAAATATATATAAAATCAACGTATAAATTGTATTTATTTTTTTTGTCAAATATTTTCAATCGACATAAATTTAATTAAATTAATTAAAATACAATATTATATATTTGTTTAAAACACATGTTAAACATTATTAAGAAAAAGACCTTTTTTTCATAAAACATAAAAATCAATTAAAAACTATTGAATCGTTTAAAACTAAATACATTGTTTTTCAAATCCTGTCATAAACATTATTTTGCAGTTTCAATACAGGTTCAATAAAAATACATTTTTTTGAATGTTAATCATTTTTTAATTAAAGGCTACGTAGAATAAAATAATTATTAACTTAATTTTAAACAATTTTTCTTTTTTTGTAATATTATTATAATAACGATTATATTTAAATCAATCTTCGTCGTATCCAAATTCAGAATCTGGTATAAATTCTCCTTCTTCTATATTTTCATTGTAATTCAAAATTTGCTGCTCTATTTGCCTAAGTAGAAAAATATTAATGAATATGTATTATTTTGTTTAAAATTAAAACGTCAGCATTGTAATCAACAAGGACATTATAATATAAACGATTATAATCGATTAAATTGATTATTAAACTCGAATATAGATTTATCATAAGTATAACGCTGATTTATTAAATTGCCTTGTATAACTTGAATAATTATTTAAATGAGACATTTTAAAAATAATAAGTTTAAATACATATTTTAAATATATTTTAGTTTTAAATAAAATTATTTATCAATATAATATATTTATTATTTGTATAGGAATTATTTAAGGGGTACGAAAAAAATCATAATTATCGATTAACTAATAGATGGAGATATGAAAAAAAAATCTGTTAATGATGGGTACTGGATATTATGTTATAGTTCACTTATTTTTAAAATTTAACCAAATTTTTGTAATAACTTTTTTTAGTAAACAACNTGAATGATGTAAAGCGTGTTATTCGCAGCTCTAGACTTGACAGACCGTTCAAGGTTATTGACATGGGGAAAAAAACATTTTTTGATTTTGACACTGCCTCTACAAAATTTTTAGATACATCAAAGTTGGGAATAAGTAAAGTTGCTTGGTTGAAAGTGACAAAAGATAGCCCAGGAATCGTTTATTTTAAGAACAATTTTAGTTCCCTATTGCCGTTTCAAACATGTAACATTTTTAAACGAGGAATACAAATTGAAAACCTTATAAATGCAGAAATTGAAAGTCTTCCGGGTGTAGTGCCACTAAAAGAAACGAAGAAAAAAGACCTCCAAGCTATGTTACAGTATTTAAGTGAAGAAAATAGGTTGTATTTTGAAAAAATTTTAAGTGCTTAAACTGTTGGACATAGATCATTTCTGACACTCTTATTCTTTAAAATATTTGTTTTTTATAATTTGTCAAAATTTTTTTTATAATTTGTTAAATCTTATACTTCATGATTTATAAAAATTTGAAAAATAAAAATTTAATTGTTTTTGTAAATTTGGGAAAGTTTTTATTGATTTGCCAAAAAATTTAATTTTGGCACTTAGATCACTTTGCCTCGCCACGCCTCATATTTATAATAAAAGAACTAATACATTTTTTTTTATTATAAATAGGATATTTTTTAGGATAATTAAAAATAAACTATTATCAAAATTTAAAATATCCAGTCCCCTGGATGCGCGTGTTAGGATTGACCAATCGTAAACAAATTTTACATTCCTTATTTTTACATGTATTATATAATAAATGCTATGATTGTGACCGAATATATGTTAAGAAAAATATCTTACCTACACTATTAATGAGCACTCTAGTGGACTATTTAAATTTATTGAATTTAATTTTTATATTGTATGTATATAACTTATAGTAATTAAAAAATTAATTCATTTTTAAAGGTATTTCTTTACTTCAAAGCTAGACTAACATAAGTGAAAAAATTATGTTTATCAGGTAATTGAATTTTTTTTACCAAATTAAATTTTATTTATATTATCAGAATTTTGTTACGACGACCCAATCTATTTGCATAAATACGAAAAAAAATAACAGTAACGCATTGTAAAACAGCCGTACTTTAAGTTTTTGTAATGATTTAAAAAAGTTGCATTTTTCTATATTTAAGTTTTCTTTAAAATTGACAAATTACAACTTATGTTTGACACGGCCCGTAATAGGGCACTATTCATTACACTGATAAACATAACATTAGTTTGTCTTATCCGGCGGTCGGTAGATAGGACTGGTCAAGGGGCGCAGCATTGCGAGACACGTCGGCGGTGACTATGTAAACCAGTTCACTTATGACTTACATCCACTGCACGTGCCGTCGAAATATATATATATTAACTTCATACCGGACTTAACTATTGTTAATATTTGCTTTAAAATATTTTAATTTTATTGTTATAGTTAAAAGTGTAAAGGACTCCAAAATTATTACGGTGTTACGTTTAATTTATTATCAAACAGCCTTTAGACCGTATCATGTTATTTAGATAAAGTTTTGATTATTATTATAAAAACTTGCCTTTTAGTATCAGAATCGATCAATTTGTCAAAGCCCAAAAGTTCATATTCATCTTGAATTGTTACAGCATTATACAAACCTAAAATGGCCACATGTTCATCAACAGTGTCCTTAGTTATTTTTAATTTCGGGTCTATACTATACTTAACCACTAAAGTAGCATCAACTGAATTTGAATTAAAATGTAAAAAGTGATTATTTATTTCATCAAGTTCAATTAATGTTTTTTTTTCTAATGTATTAGTAATTAATCCATTAACACTTCCTATTACCTTATTAGCAATATATACATTATTATAACCCTTTGGTTCCTTATATGTCATACAATATATTGCTCTTATTTGGCGAACAATACTTACTAATTTTAATTTATAATTATTATTTAGATATTCATTGATATTACTTAAGAAAACAACGGCATATAATAATTTTTGAATTACGGTATTTGAATTTTGTACTGCTGTCCGCAACTTCTTAGAGCAATCAATAAAATTTATTGCATCGACAAACTCATATGAGTAGCATTTCTTAACAAAACTGTTTAATATATATCTAAATACTTTCAAAGATTCAGTGTACCTAAAAATGATTAATTCGTTTATCAGTGGTATTTTTATCTTGAAATTATTCTTATTCACTTCCGTTAAAATATTTTTTAGTTGATATATTAGACATGTGTTTTCAGCGATCCTCAATTTATATGTCATTTTTAAATCCCATCCATCCTGTTGACGAATATAATTGAATATATTGATAATATTTTCTAAATTATTGCATGAATATGAACTTGAACTACAGAAAACCATCGAACTTTGATTTAAAATCCAAAATCTATAAAAGTTTAAAATAAATAGTCGAAATAACATTTTGTTGAGATAATTGATTAAAAAATTGACACGAAAATTTAATGAATATTAAATCTGTAAAATAAATTTGTCAGTAATAGTATAAAAATACTAAAGTAATAATATTCTTTAATGTTAATCTTCAGCTTTTATAATTTTAATACGTATTAACGAGTTTTGAGAAAAACACTTGATTTTTATTTTAGTATTGCAATAATTATTTATGTATGTAAATTTACACCATTCAAGAAATTTCAAATATTATTTTTATAAACACAGCTGTACTAATAAAATTGATTAAAATTATTAAACACTAATTAAAATTCATAAAAAATTTCTGCTAAAAATCTTTTTGACATCTATAGAGTTCCCGAAGAATGATCCATTATTCTATCATTTAATTTTACTTTCAGAACGATGAGAAATTTAAGTTTACCAAGATCCTAATTATAATTAGGATCTTTATTTAAAATAACTTTAATCATTATGAGATAAATATTAAGAGAGATGTATTTTAAAATTGAGAAATCATCTTTTTATCATAACTGAAAAGACTAATAATTGAAAATAATAAAAAATATATAATAGCAGAGATTATTTACGAAACATAATTTTCTTATTTAACATTAGCGGCTTTTTATACTCTTCGTCTTCCTCGCCTTAATCCCAACTACGTGGGGCGTCTGTTTATACATATAAAATAATTAATATCGAGAATTTTTTTTCCTCTGTAATAAATTATACTATAATTTTTGACCTAATTAATATTTTGCTATACTTTTGTTTTATAAAACATTTTTTTGTTTATAATATTATTTTGTTTTAAAGAAGATGATTTTGATTTATTTAGTATTTTTGTCTATAATGATAAAAAATACAATAGATTTTATAAAATATAATACAGGAAATATCCGCGAAGGCGTTAATTATAATATGACGTGTTTTTTTTTTTATGTCTGTTACCACTTTTTCTCAGCTCTCTCTGGACCGATATCTTTCAACGATACGTTAAAAGATCACAAATCGTATCTAGTCGCATACGTTATCCTCAAAAATTGAAAACATTTTTCTCGTTCTCTATGAATAGGTGAAATCTTCAAAAAAATAACAAAGTTAAAAATCGATATTTTTCGAAAGTTTTTCAATTTTTTTTATTTTAAACCGCTATAACTTAATAAAAATGGGCAAATCAATATAATAGTGATAAATATAAGTATGGATGGCAGTGATTAATATAACTATCATAAGAAACTCTGTGATGCAAATCTGTAGATAGTGTTTAATTATAAGAAATTGAAAGATTTTTCCAAAACATAATTAACTGCTATTTATTCATTACTCCTAATTAAAATTTCTATGATTTATAAGTATAATATATGAATATATGAATATAATCTATTTTAACAATTCAATGTAATATGATATTAATAATTAATTATTTATATATTACAATTTTTACAGAGAAATTTAGGCTAAATTGAAATTTAAGTACACAACAGCTGACCAAATCATTGGTGAAACTTGACACGGAATATTTTTAAATATTTATATATTTTAGAATACTGTAGGATAAAACTACACAGAATATAGATTTGAATATTTGATTTATAGCTTCTATTTAAACATTAAGAAATATATATGTATAAATGATTAGTGAGTTCCTATTTACATAATTTATTACAGTAAAAAAAAAAAAGTGATTAAACGAAATTTTGAGTTTTTTAATGGTAATTCTATAATTTTCTGTCCATATATCAACCTAAACAAAACTATTTATTTAAATCTTCATAACATTTTCTATAGAATGATATAAATTTTAAACTTGTAAGATTAACTAAAATAAGGTTTAATATTCAACATTTTTTTGTTGAATATTGTTGGTTTAATATTTCAACTAAAATTTTACCAATGATTCATAATACTTAAAATTAACGATACGTGTTCCAATATAATACAATAGTATAAATAAGGTCAAATTAGATTAAAAATAATAAATTTGTTCAAATTCATATTTGTTCAAATATGAAAATAATATGTAATAATATGGTTCAAATTCTGCTATATTTGTAGGTCGTTTATATTGACAAATTTTAACTTCTCATATAATTTTAAGCATTTTAGTAACAATTTACCAAATACATATATTTTAATATAATTGAATTTAATTAACACACATAAGTATTTAATTCATTTATAGACCTAATAAACATTATAAAATATAAATTGATAACCAAAAAAAAAAAAAATTAAGGCAAATAGAATAAAACTTAAATAAAATCATTATTTTTCTATGCATCGTAAACTCAACGGTCTCAGCTAGTTATACATACTGGAAATCAAATTTTATTTTCTTCTTCACAAAATTATTGTAATGTATCAAAAATTTTAAGAAGCTTTTAGTATCTCAAAAAGAGCACCACTTAAAGTAACTCGAAAAGAAATAATTAAATTAATTAATATAAAGTGGTGGGTGTTTGTTTGAGCTACTACTTTTATTGTATTAATAATATTATTACTCGGGATATGAGTACGAGGGTCTGTAAGAAAGAAAGAAAATGATGGAAAAATAAAGTGATCTTTGTTCTGTTAATATAAGATTTATTTCGAATAATTGTCAATTCATTAATGTCAATAATACCACGAGTTTTGATGGTTATCAATGATAGGTGGGATTGAGTCACCTCGTTTGTTTACTTAGAGTGGTATGGTGGCTATACATACACCCAAAGAAAAACCTCAATTAATTTAAAACTTAGAAGTAATAGAAAAAGTTTAATTGCACATTTGAAAGCATCACGAAAAGTTTATTTAGANATTTTTTTCTATTTAATAATATTTATTTCAAACTTGCAAGTTGAGTTAAAAGTTATGGTAATAAATTCATTTTTTTTTTATTAAAACTTTCACTTTAAAGAACAAAAAGAAGTAGGTTCAAAATGATTACTTTTAACATATTAAAAATCAATAATAATTTGAAAATAATTAATTATAAAAATTATATAATATATAATTAAAATAATTACTAATCTGGATATAATTAAGGAAATAGGAGTTGATGTTGGGTTGGGTTGGTTACATTTTTAACTTTATAATGCTATAACTCATTGAAAAGTGTACGAATCAACACAATTTTTTTATGAGAAATAATATTTTTTAATAATCCCTTTTTCATTCGACATACTTTATCTTAATCAGGGTATTAATAAGAAACTAGCAGATAATGTAGCTTTTGTAATTATCCACCAATTTCTTAGAATTAAACACTATCTACTGATTTGCATCGAAGCGTTTCTTATGATAGTGATTTTAATCACTGTCAGATTAAATCTATACTGGACCCAACTATGCAACATCCCCACTATGCCACGACCCCACTGTGCTGGGTTTTTTTTTTTGCAGATTTCCCCTATTTACGGTGAATGAGGGAGATATTTTCAAATTTTTGAGGATAATGTCTTTGAGATAGATTCGATTTGGGATCTTTTGACGTATCTTTAAAAATCTGACCCTTAACGTACCACAGGGAGCGAATTCAAAATAATAACATTTCCAATAAATTAACTTATTTAACTTATCTGTAAGCCACTCCTGAGACACCCTACTCAGTAAATTATTATTATATAATACCATATGAATATAATTTNACTCCTGAGACACCCTACTCAGTAAATTATTATTATATAATACCATATGAATATAATTTTATTGGGAGGATTATTCCTTTCGACCCATGGAAGGCTTTTTATCGTAATAGATCACTTAAATAATATATAAAATAATAATTAATAAATAATAAATAAAATGATTATTTAGAAAATTTAACACAGTTTACTATAAATAATAAAATAAACATAGTACAAGTAAATGGCACAGCAGTATATAATGAAGAGCACACTAGAGCAATTTTACTGCCTTTAAGGTTTCAATTTAACAAATTTTTTGAACATGGTAATAATTATAAAAAAATGTTGAATAACATGAATGATTTAAAAACAAATAATACAGATAAAATATCAAATTTTATACAAGGTAAACTTTGGAAACAAAAAATTGTACCATATGAAGGAAAAATTGTTTTTCCTTTTTTTTTATATGTTGATGATCTGGAAATTAATAATCCTCTGGGCTCTCATTCTAAATTTCAATCAATTGCTGCAATTTATTATAATTTTCCACTTCATAATAATAATTCTATGCTGTCTAACATATTTTTAGCATCTTTAGTTAAATCAGTTGATTTTAAAATGTTTAGCAATGATAAATGTTAAACTAATTTAGTTAATGAAATTAATTATCTTGAAAAAGATGGAATAACTATAACAACAGACGATGGACAGTTGAAAATATAATTCATTCTTGGTTTAGTTTTAGAAGATAACCTTGATGTCAACAGCATTTTAGAATTTAGTAAATCTTTTTCAGCCAAATTTTTTTGTCGTTTGTGTAAAGCACATAAAGAACTTATTAAAGTTATGTCTATTGAAAACTCATCATCACTTAGAACTGTTGATAATTATGAAATAGATACAGCCAGTTTAAATTTTAAAGAATCTGGTATTTACAAAGAGTCTATTCTTAACAAAATTAATAGTTTTTATGTAATTAATAACCTCTGTGTAGATATTATGCATGATATTTTTGAAGGGGTGTGCCATTATAATATGTGTCACATACTCAAATATCTAACCATTACAGTTCAATTATTTACTTTAGGTAAACTAAACAATAAGAAAGATATATTAAATTATGGTAGTTTAGAAGCTGGTAATATTTCACCACCTATTCTTTCAACACATATAGATACTTTTCGATTAAAAATGTCAGCAAGAGAAATGTGGACATTTGTTCATTTTTTTCATTGGTGGTAGGAGATCTAGTACCAGAGGATGATGAGGTTTGGTTATTTTATTTAATCTTTTAAAAAAATAATTAAAATAATAAAAAACGTATCTTTGAAAATCTGACCCTTAACGTACCACAGGGAGGGAATTCAAAATAATAACATTTCCAATAAATTAACTTTTTTAACTTATCTGTAAGCCACTCCTGAGACACCCTACTCTGTAAATTATTATTATATAATACCATATAAATATAATTTTATTGGGAGGATTATTCCTTTTGACCCATGGAAGGCTTGATATGAACTTATGTAAAACATTGCTGTCGGTCATTATATAGTATTTTTCATGCGTCAGTTGCGAAGTTACAAACTGAAGGTGTGACTTGAGCTTAATCACTTTATTTAATTTTTTATTTATTTAATNATGGTAGGAGATCTAGTACCAGAGGATGATGAGGTTTGGTTGTTTTATTTAAACTTTTTAAAAATAATAGATATTTTATTGAGTTATTCTTTTTCTGAAAGTAAAATTTCATTGCTTACTGACTTGATAAAACAGCACCATGAAAATTATATTTATTTATTTAATGATACCTTAAAACCAAAGCACCACTTGATGGTGCATTATCCAAAAATAATTAAAGAGTCAGGGCCACTGAGACATTTTTGGTGCTTTAGGTTTCAAGGTAAACATAAAGAATTTAAAATGTATGCAGGGGTTACTTCATCTAGACGAAATGTTACATTAACGCTAGCTAAAAAATTTCAAATTAGATTTGCAGGTTATATAATGAATTCAGATAAACCAGACCTTATAGCATGTGAAAAACATATATTATTTAATTCACTATCACTTGAAAAAGAAATTTTAATTAAAACTGGTATGAATCCAGCATATTATAAAATCTACAGAGAAGTACAATTTAATGATATTTCTTACAAGTATAATTTATACTTGAGCAAACACTTAAATGGTTNTTTCTTATAAGTATAATTTATACTTGAGCAAACACCTAAATGGTTATCTTTTTAAAATAGAAGCTATAGTTGTTGTAAAAAATATCAATGTATTAATTTTAGCCAGAGAAATTTTACTAAATAATTATAATCCACACTATGCAGCTTATGAAGTACCTAAAAACATTAATATCCAAGAAATCTCTATAGATAATATCAATGACTTTAGAGGACCACCAGTAAATACAACAAACTTATCATCAGGAAAAGTGTTTATTTGGTTAAAAANTAAATACAACAAACATATCATCAGGAAAAGTGTTTATTCGGTTAAAAGAATATTTTTAGACATATTATTCAAAATAATTAAAATATTTTAATAATTTACTATTTTTTCAAGTCAAACAAGGTTAAATTCAAATTATTTTCTAAGGATTGAATATATTTATATATTATACAGAATTAACTTTTCCTGAAATTTATGAATACTTGAACCAGAAAAATGTTTATCTTAGTTAAATTATTTATAAACGTAGAAATTAAATATCAAGTATTAATTATAAATAATTAAGCTCCAATAGCTTACCTTAATTTAACAGTTTTTTATTTCAAAAGTTAAAAAAATTAAAATTGAATGAAGAATGCAAGTATAATATATTTTTTTTAATTTGCAGAAAATAATATAAATGCAATTATTACTTTTTGTCATAGATAACTAATAGATAGCTGTTTTGAGTTAAACTTCAATTTAAATCACAATACGAGTTAATATTAAGTTTTTTTTAAACAAAAAAAATTGTTCTAAATTTTTAATTATTTTGGAGAACATTATTAAATTGAATAAATTTTCAAAATTATTTGAATCAAAATGATGACTCAGATCCAGTAAGAAATTTTCCATAACTAGTATTAAAATGGGGTTAAAATGTTCTTAAAGCCCATACATACAAAAATTTATTTATTTTTATTATTACAATATTATATGGAAATATTTTTTATGTATAAAAATAATATAATAGTAATTATGCAAAATGACCTACTGATACACATTTAATGATGATCCTAATTCTACATACAGTAGAACTCCAATTATCCGAACTCCGACCATCCGAATCGCCGATTATCCGAATCACTTTCAGAAAAAATCAGAAAAAAATTTGTCCAAAGTCCGCGTCGTCAGTGTAGGCACAACACGTGGTAAGAGTTCCCACTCCAGTTCCGGCGCATTGCAGTCACCTGTCATTGTTTGTTTTGATTAGTCAGTGTGCTAAATTGACCTTGCTCGAGAACGCTACTCTTTCGCTACGGCTTACTTTTGTTTGTGCGTGTACTGTATTGTTTTTTACCATGGCTTCGAAAAGAAAACGTGTTGTGCTATCGTTAGCGGACAAACTGAAAATTATAGAGCAACTCGATAAAGGTGTAACGGGTAAGAAGTTGTCTGAGATTTATGGTGTTGGACAAGCAACAATTTGTGACATTAAAAACAGTAAGTCAACACTTTTAAACTTTGTTTCGGTGCTTGAAAATGAAGATGGAAGTTCCTCCAGGAAAACAATGAAGACAGCAACCAACAAAAATTTGGAAGATCCCGTGTTTAAATGGTTTTTGCAGCAACGTTCTATGGGAAATCCGATTTCAGGTCCAATCCTTTGTGAAAAAGCCAAAATCTTAGCAGAAAAGCTTGGTTATTCATCTTTTAAGGCTAGTAACGGCTGGCTAAGGAACTTTAAATTCAGGCATGGTGTACGCGAGTTAGATTTGGCTGGTGAGAAGCTTTCAGCAGACTCTGCAGCTGCTGAAAATTTTATTGAAAAATTTAAAACTGCAGCAGAATCCTATGATCCGGAGTTTGTTTATAATGCCGATGAAACTGGCCTTGTTTGGAAAGCATTACCAAAAACCATATGTATCATGTAGATATTAAATTGAAAAATGACATTTGAAAAAAAAATGTAAGTAATAGTTTTGTTGGAGACTCTGAAGACCAATTTATACTTCATGAATTATCTAATATGGAACATGAATGTAATACAAATGAAAAGTTGTTTTAAAGTCAAGTATGTATTATTTCTATACAAAATATAACAGATTATTTTTAATGAATCATTAATTTAATTTTAATTTTTGAGGAACACAATGAGTCAATTAATAATGAAATAACATCTTTGAAATCTAATGAAGTAGAAAATTTTAAATTAGGCGAAGAAAATATTAATAAAGTAAAATTAATATTAGAAGGATGGAATTTAGGACACCTGTTAAATGCTTTAATAAGTAAGTGATTGTTTAAAAGTAAAAATGTTACAACTATATTACTTGTATAATATTAGTTGATATTGTAATTTTATAAAACTTGCATTATATCTGTACATTTAAAAAAGATTAAAATATTTTCTAATAAAAAATATCTAAGATTTACATAAAGGAAAATTCCTATTGTAATGGGATAACTTAATAATTAAAATGATTCAAAATTTAGCGTAACATTTAAATAAATTCTGTTAAATTATTTAATAATTACNCATTTAAATAAATTACTGTTAAATTATTTAATAATTATCTAATTATAATATTTGACAGGTGAATGTATTGATGTAGATGCATTAAGCCATATGAAATCCAAGCACATTGATAAACTTCTCTCAAATTATTCATTAGGGACACAAATAAAATTTGAAAATCATTTAATTACTTGGCAAAACACATTAAATGTGACCAAGAATAAGCTCAATGTTTCTAAACAATTGATTACTACAGCTAATAAAAATGACCTAATCAAATTTGTAGATATTCATTCTATTTTAACAAAATCTACAGAGGGATTATTAGTGCTAGATTATTTTAAAGAACATAATGAACTAAATGATTCAATAAGAGGAAAACTAGTAGATATAATTATTCACTATTTATTCTCAAACGACTTTACCATGTCAGTGAAGCTTGCTGAGAGTATTGCTAATCAAATTAACTTTTTATTTCCTTCAGAGATTAAAGCAAGTTTGAATTATTTATTTTTAATTATAATTTAAAAATAATTTTAAAAAAAATTATACATTTTGTCTTTGATTTTGTATAAAATTGATATAATTGTTCAACTAACTTTTGGTTATTCCAGTTTAAATGCCACTAAAAATACTACAAATTTACCGAAAAAACTTTGTAAAAATTTTTCAAGTGTGCACAACACTTTGAAAATGAAACTTAACGTAAATTTTAAATTATTGAAAGTAAATATTTATATTTACAAACATAAAACACAATCAATACTCAGTATTAAACCACGACGAATTAGATAGATTTTGTGGTGGTTTAAATAAATATTGTTATCATAATATTTGTTTTAAAACCGTTGATATGAGCTGTTTGTACTATTAATGTCAGTTTTATCTAACACTACTAAAACCTTGATTAATGTGTTGGACATATATGCTAAGAACTATGAAAGAAGGTTAAAACATTAAAGCAGGTTATTTAAAATTATTTATTACACTAGTGTATNCGGGTTATTTAAAATGATTTACTACACTAGTGTACTTTATGTATAACTACTACTACCCATTTACTATTCAATTATGTATTATTGTTAAATAATAATTTATTTTACAGGATATATATTTTATGCGAAGTGTAAAAAATAGCACTCCTCGGGGTAAATTATACGCTAAATTTTATAATAACATGCGATCGCTGAAGACAAGCGGCTTAATAGAAAAAAATAATCTGAATAATTCTTCAACAAATAACTTTATTATAGGTAAAATATTTATTGTTAAATTTAATTGTTAGTGCAACTATAATTAAATTATTTTTACTTCACCTTAAAAAATAAAAAAATAATTTTATTATAAATTTATTTACCTTAAAACATTTATAGAGCAATTTAAACAATTTTAGTAAGTAAAGACTCTATATTCCCACTTAATTGCATCAGTGAATTTAATTGAAATATTTTTTTAATTAATAATCATTAATTTATTTAGAACCAGAAGAAGAGGACATCAGAGATCTTATTGACATAATAAAATACGATCATTTAAATATTCCATTTCTGAAGTTACAAGAGTATTGGGGTGCTACTGTCAATTTTAGACTTAAAAAGATTAGAGAGGCTAAAGAAACAAACGAAATAATAAATGAATTGGCTAATTATAGATTGCCCCTTGGATATAAACTCGTATGTAAAATGTATTACTTATACATAAAATAATTAAATTTAAGAGTTTCATTTTTGTAGGTGGATATTGACTTAATCAACTTATCAAATATAATAGTATAATGGTCGATTCATTTGACGATTCTTACCAAGATATTATGAATATTATAGAAAAACACAATAAAGACCGAGATAGCAAAATACTTGTAGAACAGCTTTCTCAAAGATCAGACATTTGTCAAAGTAATAATACTTTATTATAAATATAAATCAAAATATTTTAGCAGTTTAATAAAAGGATATTTTAGCATTAAATTAATTATTTTCTTGGTCAGGTGGAAAATATACAGCATTCTTCTATCTATTAAGCTCGCTTTTTGTGCCAACGTCGCGAAAAGTGACGAGAGATGTAAATGGAAAAAAAAATATCATTAAATATTCTATAAAGGACTCTCAAAATTCATTCATTAGTTTCCACGAGACAGTTGACCAAGCTGAAGCTTACATCTCTGTTGCCGCCTGGGCTGTTCTAAAAAAATCCCAAATATAAATGGGAAACAGAACTTGGCCGTACGGCTTAAAATAGGGGCAACTTTTGATCAACAAAAATTTCTTAATTAATTTAAAATTTGTTAAATGAACAATATTTTTTGTTTATCCAAAATAGGATTGTTTAACTCAATAAATATAACGAAATAATTCAAATAACAACAACCAATTTTTTATTATTGCTGAATTAAATAATTAATAAATATGATAATCCATACTACTTACATTTATTTATGCTCCATATGAATAAAATGAATTTATAGTAGTTGTTGGGGCCAGGGGCACTAAATATTATAGTGCGTACCCGAACCGGCTAATTACACCAATACCGATCAGGCTGCGTAGTGTGGTGTATGTAAATAGAATCACTGGAGGTGGGAGGGGTCGCCTGCGCAGCAACCAGTGATCTATGTAGTGACAGATGTGTTAGTGTGTAATTGTTTTGTGTGTACTTAATTAATTAAATAAATAAATATCTCAAAAAAAAAACTTTATAATAATTAATAATAATATTTTCAATGATTAATGAATGTTAATTTCAATAAGAATAAACAATAATAATAAATGATAACTTCAATAATACTAAACAATAATTAATAAATGATAATTTCAATAATACTAAACAATAATTAATAAATGATGATTTTAATACTCACACAATTGCAGAGATGCTAACTTAATCCTAAAATAATTTTACATGTAACACAAAAATATCTGACAGCAATAATATTTACAAAAGGTGGTAATAAGTTCAAAGTTTATATCACAGCAAAATGGTTGTATCAGAGTTGACTAAAATAGGACAGAAAGACTTTTGATTTGACAACAAAAGGGAAAAACTATTAGAGTTTTCAATTGTAGATATAATTACAAAATAAAAATATTAGAGTCTTATAATTTGTATAAATCGAAAAGACAAAATAAAACTATTAGAGTTTTTTCTATACATGCCCAAAAATGTTCTATGAACAATTCATTTTATTAAAAAAAAGAACAAAAACTATTTAAGTTTAACTTAGTATGAACAAACTATTTGAGTTTTATGAGTGAAAAACACAAAAAAAAGGAAACTTTTTCTACGATACGATAATAATAAAATTATGTGGTTATGTGTTGTGTTTGGTGTGTAGTGTGTGAACAGCTGATCGGCCGGTAGTAGCGATATCCACTACTACTTGCGTAGTAGTGAGTAGGTGTGGTGATAATAGTTAGACCGGTCCGAGTACACTGGGCGCGCGTGCGTACAACANAATTAGTTTCCACGAGACAGTTGACCAAGCTGAAGCTTATATCGCATTACTACAAAGTAGAAATCAGCCAATACAACCATTCATTTTAATTATTGGCACGATTTTAAAACCACGAGATATATTATTATATTTTGATGCCATCAAGTATAAAATTTTTTCAATAATAAGAGCAGTGGATGTCTGCTTTAAGATATTCCATGTTTTTAATTTAGAATACCCACTTCCATCATGCGCTGTCTGGACATTTATTCAACAATATTACTACAAATTATTTTTAAAGAACGACTACTCCCATCAAACAGTAAAACAAGTGCTACATGATCTCAACAAAATAGTAAAATAATATTATTATATTAATATTATATTGAAAAATCCTTTTATTTTTTCACTTTATATTTTTCTTCTTTTCATTTGTATTAATTATTTGTAAATTATTAATTTTTATTTGATTATTTAAAATTAATTTTACATCCAATGTATAAAGTTTATACTATAAACAGATTGTAAGCTTTCTTAAAATTCATTAAAAATAAAAGGTGATAAATACGCCGTTTCAGTTTATATTCCATATGTCTATTTAAATACACATGTGTAAAGGTTTTATTTATAATTTACTATTGAAAAATTAAAAGTTGTTCATTAAATTATTTTTAATATTATAAATACTACACAATATATATATTAAATAACGTGTTTATTTAAGTAAATTATTACCATAATTAAGATTAAATTTATAATTTAATATGGGATTTTATTTGTACACTGGTATGTTAATTTAATAAAAATTCATTATCATATTGAAAAAAATTTACTTAATTCTTTAAAAAATGTTTCATCACCATGAAAAATTATTTATCAAAATGATTTAGGTATACAATAATAATTCGTCATAAGTACGATTAATTTATCAATATGACAAAGTTATACTTATTATATTGATAGAGTATTTTATTATTTCAATAATATCATCATTGTTATAATGATGAACAAACCACTACAATTTTTCTCTATCATATTGATAAATATATCATAGGTTCAATAGTAATGATATATTTATCAAATTGAACGATGAATTTATTATATAGATCGAGGTTTTTCTCTGAGTG